CACTACATTACACTGCACTTATGTTATGTTACACACATACCTGCGTTATGTTGCACTATGTTATGTTACACTACATACACTGCGTTATGTTACATTATGTTATGTTACACTACATACCTGTTACACTATGTTATGTTACACTACCACATTATGCACTATGTTATGTTACACTACATTACACTGCGTTATGTTGCACTATGTTATGTTACACTACATTACGCTGCACATGTTATGTTACACTACACACACTGTTTTGCTTATGTTACACACATTACACTGCACTATGTTATGTTACACTACACACACTGCGTCATGTTGACTATGTTATGTTACACTACATTACGCTGCGTTATGTTATTATGTTATTACATCTACGCTGCGTTATGCTGCATTATGTTATACTTACATTACATTGCATATGTACTATGTTATATATTACGCTGCACTATGTTATGTTACACTACATTACACTGCGTTATGCTACATTATGTTATGTTACACTACATTACACTGCGTTATGCTACATTATGTTATGTTACACTACATTACGCTGCGTTATGTTGCACTATGTTATGTTACACTACATTACGCTGCGTCATGTTGCACTATGCTATGTTACACTACATTACGCTGCGTCATGTTGCACTATGCTATGTTACACTACATTACACTGCGTTATGTTGCACTATGCTATGTTACACTACATTACGCTGCGTCATGTTGCACTATGCTATGTTACACTACATTACGCTGCGTCATGTTGCACTATGTTATGTTACACTACATTACACTGCGTTATGTTGCACTATGTTACGTTACACTACATTACACTGCGTTATGCTACATTATGTTACACTGCATCACTGTACTGGCTTGTATTTCAGTAGTCTACATCAGCCTGGAGGCCGACTCGATGTATTAACCTCGGTAAATCTTCCCTTGATGTCGTCCTCGAGCATTACTTTGGTCCAGCTGTTGTAGCCGAGAATTACAGCCCCAACAGCTGATCTTAACAGCTGGGTGGTGTTAATAACATTTGATCTTCGCAAACAACTGATCTTAACAACAGCTGATCGTAACAACAGCCGAACCTAACAATAGCTGATCTTAACAACAGCTGATCATAACAACAGCTGATTTTAACAACAGCTGATCTAAATAGCAGCTGATCTTAACAAAAGTAGATCTTCGCAATAGTTGATCTTTGCAACAGCTGATGTCCACACCAACTAATGTTCTTATTTATACAGCTGATCGTAATAACAGCTGACTTTGTTTGTATTCTCATGTTTTAGTTCCCCTAGCGGCCAAACCGCCAACTAAATACCATGAACGATATCCTTCTACCATGAACGATATCCTTCTACCATGAACGATATCCTTCTACCATGAACGATATCCTTCTACCATGAACGATATCCTTCTACCATGAACGATATCCCACCATGAACGATATCCTTCTACCATGAACGATATCCTTCTACCATGAAACTATATCCTTCTACCATGAACGATATATCCTTCTACCATGAACGATATCCTCGCCCATGAACGATATCCTTCTACCATGAACGATATCCTTCTACCATGAACGATATCCTTCTACCATGAACAATATCCTTCTACCATGAACGATATCCTTCTACCATGAACGATATCCTTCTACCATAAACGATATCCTACCATGAACGATATCCTTCTACCACGAACGATATCCTTCTACCATGAACGATATCCTTCTACCATGAACGATATACTACTACTACCATGAACGATATCCTTTCATTCGATGAACGATATCCTTCACCATGAACGATATCCTTCTACCGCGAACGATATCCTTCTACCACGAACGATAACCTTCGTACCATGAACGATATCCTTCTACCACGAACGATATCCTTACTCACGAAACGATATCCTCTTCACCATGAACGATATCCTTCACCATGAACGATATCCTTCTTACCATGAACGATATCTCACTCACGAACGATATCCTTCTACCATGAACGATATCCTGCTACCATGAACGATATCTCTACTCATGAACGATATCCTACCATGAACGATATCCTTCGCACCACGAACGATATCCTACCACGAACGATATCCTTCTACCATGAACGATATCCTTCTACCACGAACGATATCCTTCTACCATGAACGATATCCTTCTACCATGAACGATATCCTTCTACCACGAACGATATCCTTCTACCATGAACGAAGATAAACGGAAACCACCAGATATAAGACAAACCAAACCCAAACGTGATGATGATCTAGAAAAAAAACAACAATATATTTCCCGCCCTTAAGCGTGAGCCTGGCGGGAAAAGTTAATAATAGCGGTAATGGCTTGAAGTAATTCGTTCCTAACCAACAATTTAGTTCAATGGTCCACTAAATCGTTTACTTAATTACTTAAACTCACTGATACGGTCACAAAAATACTGTCACATGTACGTACACCTGTTATTGATGACTACTGCAAAAGATATAGTACTGTACACTTAGGCAACACATTTGTACAGTACTCTTCGTCATTATTATTATTATTATTATTATTATTATTATTATTATTATTATTATTATTATTATTATTATTATTATTATTAGTATTATTATTATTATTATTATTATTATACGAGACGTTACTGTTATAAAATTAAAAATAAATATTCAAATAACTAAGAACTCAAAAACTGATAAAAACTTTGGTGAGGAATTACTACAAGTGGTGGAGTGGTTAAGACCTTCGACGCGTCTTGGTAGTTCCATGGTTCGATCCTCCATTACTTGTATCAGTATTTGTGTAGCCATTTGTTGTTGTTATTATTTTATTTGTTTTTGTTTGGTGTTTTAGTTTATTTGTTGTCACTTGTGTTCGTTGGTGTTTCTTGTTTCTGAATTTAATAACATCTTTTAAAACATTCTATTAACAATTACTATCCTTAACTTCACGGGGTAAACATTCTATTTCCAGTTACATGTTTAATACAATACCCGTGAAAATAGTATAATAAAGTTGGGAAATACAGAAAATTATAAAAAAACTGGGAAATACAGAAAATACAAAAGTGTGTAAAAATTAAAAACCTGGAAATACAGAAAAAAAATCAATAAAAATATTTGAAATTACAGTAAAAAAAAGGATGATAATTAATACGTCTGTCAGGGTATATAGACTGTAACCCTGTAACGTGAAATACTGTAATAATTTTAGTGACATTGTAATATGACTTTCCGGATATAACAGAGTAATATAGTTTGTTTCATGTTAGTGTAATATAAGAGTAACTAAAGGGGAGATATTGAGTTAGTGTTTAAGTTTTGAGGTATTAAGCTGTTTCGCCCCTTGCCAGTTCGCCCCTTGTCAGTTCGCCCCTTGCCAGTTCGCCCCTTGTCAGTTCGCCCCAAACCCTGTTCGTTCCCTCCAAGTTCGCCCAATAGCCACTTCGCCCCATAACCCGTTCGCCACTTACTAGTTCGCCCCCCCCCCCCGTGCCAGTTCACGCTATATCCTGTTCGCCTCCTGCTAGTTCACTCCCTGCCAGTGCCTCATAGCCAGTTCGCCCTATAGCCTATTCGTCACTTGCTAGTTCGGCACTTAATAGTTCGCCCCATGACCTGCTCGCCACTTACTAGGTCGTCCCATAGCCTGTTCGCCTAATGCTAGTTCGCCCCCTGCCAGTTCGCCCTATAGCCAGTTCGCCCCATAGCCAATTTGGCCCTTTGCCTGTTCGCCCTCGTCCAGTTCGCCCCATAGCCCGTTTTCCATTTACTAGTTCGCCACTTACTAAGTTCGCCCTATAGCCTTTTCGCCACCTGCTAGTTCGCCCTATAGCCTTTTCGCCCCCTGCTAGTTCGCCCCATTGCCAGTTAGCCCCATTGCCTGTTCGCCACTTATTAGTGCGTCCCATAGCCTGTTCGCCACTTGCTAGTTCACCATAACCCGTTCGCCTCTTGCTAGTTCGCCCTTACCAGTTCGCCCCATAGCCTATTCGCCACTTGCTGAATTCGCTCTGTGATTCACCCCCCGCTAGTTCGTCCCCTGCCAGTGTCCCAGGTTAGGGTTAGGAGGTGAGTGATGTAACGTTGTATCTCATCGAGATTACCACACACACACACACACACACACACATGCAGTCCATCACATACATAGATAGATGAGGCAGCGGTCGTGGGTTCAGGACGAGGAGAGAGGTGGCGGTGATCCCCAGGTACTCTCTCTCTCCAGCCGTTAGTCCCAGCATTAAGCGCCATTTATGTGTGTATTATGCATGGACACAGTCGTTACAGAGATGGCTTTTGTGTGTGTGTGTGTGTGTGTGTGTGTGTGTGTGTGTGTGTGTGTGTGTGTGTGTCGGGCACCAGAAGAAAGATAATATTTTCTTTCTTGGTCAAGTGAAGGGAATCCTAACCTGAACCTAACCTAACCTAACAACCTAACCTAACCTAACCTAACCTAACCTAATCCTAATCCTAACCAACGAAGACAACAGAGAAATGAACACAAGAGGAGAGAGGAGAGCAGTTTAATGTTCCTGGACACAGCCAGTACACACCCACCAGTTGTAGAAGAATGTTATCACCAGTAGCAGCCAGGTGTATGGGTGACCTGGCTCTCCCAAACGTGTATATTAAACCCACTCTTTTACTGTTAATAATGTCTGTTTTGTTATCATTCACTCACCCGACGAAGAAAAAACATTAAGTTTGCCAGGTGTCCAGTACAGGTGTATATATATATATGAGTGAGAAGAGCCAGGTATAAGCAGGTCAAGTGGTGCGTGTCCAACACATATATACCCAGGCAGCCTCGACCAGGTGTACCATCATCTCATCTCGGCAGAAGCGGGGGAAATTAATCACACCGGTGCCATGTTTATTGGAGTGGCCTAACCTAACCTAACCTTCCCTCACCATCTTGTACTCACACAGATAAAGAATTTTTTTATGGAATCTTTACCCACATGTTATGTTTTATCTCACAGTATGGAGGTAAGTAGAACGTTAACCCAAGGAAACGTTAATAGCGAACATAACGAGGCGTCGCGATCTGGTCTTGTTTACAGTCGGGTCAGAGACTACGGGGTTAAATAATTTCGTGTGAGTAGACGTAGTGAAACTAACCTAACTTAAATTACCGTAGGTTATATTTTCAGGAGCTTATTCTCTATAGATTAAGTTTAAATAAGATTAGTTAGAATTAATTTACGATTCGGTATATCTAGGTTAGGTTTGGTTGGTTTGTTTCGTCTCTTGTTTGAAATGATTTAATCCCGTTGTCTCTGACCTGGTCATACAAACTCAGAACTGTTGTCGTTTCTGTGGAGATTCAAGACTTGATTATCGATATCTCATATATACACGGATTTACGTTCCATAGTCCTGGCACTCAAACTGATATCAAATGTGGCACCCCGGTAGTGTCACCTCTCACATTTACCGCCGCATTTCACTTGTCAGATGAATTTCAGAACGATGATACATGGACAGTATACCTGACTTTGGTGTGTGCGTGGTTCCTCACCCCTGACCTCTCACCCCTGACCCCCACACCCCTGACCCCCACACCCCTGACCCATGATTCCTTGACCCCCTGACTCTCTGACCCTTGGCCCCTGACGACAAAAGAGCTTTACACTTGACATCGATGACACACACACACAGGCACAACGACCTTTCACAGACTCACTTGGGGAATGAGCGAGAATAACAGAAGCCTTTGGAATATACTCGGTGGTGTGTGTATCTGTCGCAGGGTGAGGTGTGGCAGGTTACACACACACACACACACACACACACACACACACACACACACACACACACACACACACACACACACACACACACACACACAGGTAACAACTGAGGTAATGAGCGTTATAATGGAGTTTGGACTCAATGAATAGAGATCACCTGAGTAGCGTTGGTCAGGTGTAGGGTGTTGAGGATGAGGTGGACGGGCAACAGGAGGAGGAGGAGGAACTAGTAGCTTGTTAGGTTAGGACAGGTCAGATCAGGGTTGGTTAGGTTAGGTTAGGACAGGTCAGATCAGGGTTGGTTAGGTTAGGTTAGGACAGGTCAGATCAGGGTTGGTTAGGTTAGATTAGGTTACGGATATGTGGTGCCCTTCTGTAATTTTTTTTTCTGTGGAATGGACAATGACTTATCTGTTCTACTTGTAAATATTATACCTGTAAAAGTTCTACCTGTAAATGCTGTACCTGTAAATGCTGTACCTGTAAATGCTTCTACTGTAAATGCTCTACCTGTAAATGCTCTACCTGTAAATGCTCTACCTAAAATGCTCTACCTGTAAATGCTCTACCTGTAAATGTTGTACAGATCACCAGGAGGCCTCTATGAAGAGTTTAAGTTAGATATGACTTATGACCACTGACCACCACACTCACACAAAAACGCCACTGGAGGCAGAAAAAAGAGAGAGACAAGCGAACATATTTCTGTCTTGTCTTTCGTAAACGCCAGTCACTCTCGACGGCCTCGTGGTGGCGTGAGTGACGTGTAACCTTTCAACGCTTAAGGAAAGATTCAACGCCAACGCTTATAATAGTTACCAGAGGATCTCATTGTGTGGGGTCAGATTGGCGACTTAAAGGGATATTTAATTGGGTGATTATGGTTCTCAGTGTTTTAGTAACCTACACACACACACACACACACACAAAAAACACACACACACACACACACACACACACTCACACACACACACACACACACACACACACACACACACACACACACACACACACACACACACACACACACACACACACACTGGAGTAGACCGAACGATAATAGGAATAGCTTGAAGGAAAAGCAACAAGAAGAGCAAAGTGGATGAAATAAGAAAAAAAAAAGAATAAGAAGAAATTACGGCTTAGATCTTCCTCTCTCACCCCTCCCCTCTCTCTCCCTCCCCTCTCTCACCCCTTCCCTCTCCTCACCCCTCCCCTCTCACTCCTCCCTCTCTCTCCTACCCCTACTCTCCTCCCCTCTCCTCTCCTCCTTCCTTTCTCCTTCTCTCCCCCCACCTCACCTCCTCCGACACTGCCAATCTCTCTCTCCTAACTCAGACGTAAGGAACCACACGCGGCTTCTTTTGATGACGAATTCACGCTTGATAAATCTTTCCCCACGGGGAGGTGAAAGAAGAGTTATTTTTTCTCCTTTATTGTTGCTTGTTATCTCTCCTTTACTCTTTCCTTCCCCATATTCTCCCAAATCTTTTTCACTTATTTTACCCCATTATCTCGTTTCCTTCTCTTACTCTTTTATCCTTCCTCATCCTCCCCATATCCTCCCCAACTTTCTCTTCCCTCCCCACTCCTTTATCAGACCTTTTTTTCCTCTTTACTTCTCCCCATTCCCTCGTACCCCCTCTTTCCCCCACTCTTCATGGTCTATCTCATCCCCTCTTCCTCCTTCCATCTTCTCCCCCTCACCACCATCCACCTTCTTTCTCCCTTTTCTCATCCTTTCCCCAGCATCCTCCGTCCTCCTCTTCCTCCTCCCTCTCCTCTCAACACAATTTTCTTTTCCCTTTACCCACCATTCTACTGCTCCATCCCTCACCCCTTTCCTTCTTCCCCTTCTCCCCTCTCCCCCACCATCCCCTCTCCTCCTCTCCCACCTCCCCTCCTCTCTCACCCCCTTCTCACCCCCCCCCTTCTCGGCTGTATCGACTAGTGACAGCATCAAAGGGGAATATAAATTAGTGTGCCCTCAGGTAAGGGTCGGGAGCCCACGTACACCTTCACACCTTTCTACTGATACCTTTTGTCTCTAATTAAAGGTAACCTGTTAATGATATGGTCTTGCAGGTCCCTGGTGGTCTATGGTGGTCTCTGGTGGTCTCTGGTGTTCTATGGTGGTCTGTGGTGGTCTCTGGTGGTCTCTGGTGTTCTGGTGGTCTATGGTGGTCTCTGGTGGTCCCTGGTGGTCTATGGTGGTCTCTGGTGGTCCCTGGTAGAGTCTGGTGGTCCCTGGTGTCTTCTGGTGGTCTCTGGTGTTCTATGGTGGTCTATGGTGGTCTCTGGTGGTCCCTGGTAGAGTCTGTGGTCCTTGGTGGGCTATGGTGGTCTATAGGTCTCTTGGTGGCTATGGTGGTCTCTGGTGTCCTGGGGTCTATGGTGGTCCCTGGTAGAGTCTGGTGGTCCCTGGTGTTCTCTCTGGTGGTCTCTGGTGTTCTATGGTGGTCTATGGTGGTCTCTGGTGGTCCCTGGTAGAGTCTGGTGGTCCTTGGGCTATGGTGGTCTATGGTGCCCTTGTGGCTATGGTGGTCTCTGGTGGTCCCTGGTGGTCTATGTAGGTCCCTGGTAGAGTCTGGTGGTCCCTGGTGTTCCTGGGTGGTCTCTGGGTGGTCTATGGTGGTCTATGGTGGTCTCTGGTGGTCCCTGGTAGAGTCTGTGTCCTTGGTGGGCTATGGTGGTCTATGGTGGCCCTTGGTGGCCAGGTCTCTGTGGTCCCTGGGTCTATGGTCCTGGTAGAGTCTGGTGGTCCCTTGGTTTCAGGTCTCTTGGTGGTCTGTGGTGGTTTATAGGGTCTCTGGTGGTCCCTGGTGGTCTATGGTGGTGGTCCCTGGTAGAGTCTGGTGGTCCCTGGTGTTCTCTGGTGGTCTCTTGGTGTTCTATGGTGGTCTATGGTGTCTCTGGTGGTCCCTGGTAGAGTCTGGTGGTCCTGGTGGGCTATGGTGGTTTATGGTGGCCCTTGGTGGGCTATGGTGGTCTATGGTGGTCTCTGGTGGTCCCTGGTGGTCTATGGTGGTCTCTGGGTGGTCCCTAGGTCTATGGTCTCTGGTGGTCTCTGGTGGTCTATGGTCCTGGTGGTCCCTGGTGGTCTATGGTGGTCCCTGGTAGAGTCTGGTGGTCCTGGTAGGTCTGGTGGTCTCTGTGCCTTCTGGTGGTCTATGGTGGTCTCTGGTGGTCCCTGGTAGAGTCTGTGGTCCTTGGTGTTCTATGGTGGTCTCTGGTGGTCCCTGTAGAGTCTGGTGGTCCCTGGTGTTCTCTGGTGGTCTCTGGTGTTCTATGGTGGTCTATGGTGGTCTCTGGTGGTCCCTGGGTCTCTGGTGGTCCCTGGTAGAGTCTGGTGGTCCCTGGTAGAGTCTGGTGGTCTCTGGTGTCTTCTGGTGGTCTATGGTGGTCTCTGGTGGTCCCTGGTAGAGTCTGGTGGTCCTTGGTGTTCTATGGTGGTCTCTGGTGGTCCCTGGTAGAGTCTGGTGGTCCCTGGTGTTCTCTGGTGGTCTCTTGGTGTTCTATGGTGGTCTATGGTGGTCTCTGGTGGTCCCTGGTGGTCTCTCTGGTGGTCCCTGGAGAGTCTGGTGGTCCCTGTGTTCTCTGGTGGTCTATGTGTTCTATTGGTCTATGGTGGTCTCTGGTAGAGTCTGGTGGTCCTTGGTGGTGCTATGGTTATGGTGGCCCTTGGTGGCCATGGTGGTCTCTGGTGGTCCCTGGTGGTCTATGGTGGTCCCTGGTAGAGCCTGGTGGTCCCTGGTGTTCTCTGGTGGTCTCTGGTGTTCTCTTGGTGGTTCTGGTGGTCTCTGGTGTCCCTGGTAGAGTCTGGTGGTCCTTGTGTTCTATGGTGGTCTCTGTGGTCCCTGGTAGAGTCTGGTGGTCCCTGGTGTTCTCTGGTGGTCTCTGGTGTTCTATGGTGGTCTGGTGGTCTCTGGTGGTCCCTGGTGGTCTCTGTGGTCCCGGTAGAGTCTGGTGGTCCTTGGTTCTCTGGTGGTCTATGGTGTTCTATGGTGGTCTGTGGTCTCTGGTCCCTGGTAGAGTCTGGTGGTCCTTGGTGTTCTATGGTGGTCTCTTGTGGTCCCTGGTAGAGTCTGGTGGTCCCTGGTGTCTCTGGTGGTCTCTGGTGTTCTATGGTGGTCTATGTAGGTCTCTGGTGGTCCCTGGTGGTCTCTGGTGGTCCCTGGTAGAGTCTGGTGGTCCCTGGTGTTCTGCTGGTCTATGGTGTCTCTATGGTGGTCTATGGTGGTCTCTGGAGAGTCTGGTGGTCCTGGTGGGCGGTGGTTCATGGTGGCCCTTGGTGGGCTAGTGGTGGTCTCTGGTGGTCCTTAGGTCTATGGTGGTCCCTGGTAGAGTCTGGGGTCCCTGGTGTTCTCTGTGTCTCTGTGTTCTGTGGTCTATGGTGGTCTTGGTGGTCCTGGTAGAGTCTGGTGGTCCTTGGTGTTCTATGGTGGTCTCTGGTGGTCCCTGGTAGAGTCTGGTGGTCCTGGTGTTCTGGTGGTCTCTCTGGTGTTCTATGGTGGTCCATGGTGGTCTCTGGTGGTCCCTGGTCTCTTGTGGTCCCTGTAGTCTGGTGGTCCCTGGTAGAGTCTGGTGGTCTCTGGTGTTCCCTGGTGGTCTATGGTGGTCTATGGTGGTCTATGGTGGTCTCTGGTGGTCCCTGGTGAGTCTGGTGGTCCTGTGTTCTATGGTGGTCTCTGTCCCTGGTAGAGTCTGGGTGGTCCCTGGTGTTCTCTGGGTGGTCTCTGGTGTTCCATATGGTCTATGGTGGTCTCTTGTGTCCCTGGTGGTCTCTGGTGGTCCCTGGTAGAGTCTGGTGTCCTGGTGTTTCTGGTGGTCTCTGGTGTTCTATGGTGGTCTTGGTGGTCTTGGTGGTCCCTGGTAGAGTCTGGTGGTCCTTGGTGGGCTATGGTGGTCCATGGTGGCCTTTGGGGCTATGGTGGTCTCTGGTGGTCCCTGGTGGTCTATGGTGTCCCTGGAGAGTCTGGTGGTCCCTGGTGTTCTCTTGGTGGTCTCTGGTGTTTATGGTGGTTCCATGGTGGTCTCTGGTGGTCCCTAGAGTCTGGTGGTCCTTGTGGCCATGGTGGTCTACGGGCCTTGTGGGCTATGGTGGTCTATGGTGGTCCCTGGTGTTCTCTGGTGGTCCTGGTGTTCTATGGTGGTCTGTGGTGGTCTCTGTGTACCCCTGAGAGTCTGGTGGTCCTTGGTGGCTCATGGTGGTTCATGGTGGCCTTGTGGGCTGGTGGTGGTTCATGGTGGTCTCTGGTGGTCCCTGGTGGTCTATGGTGGCTCTGTGTCCCGGTAGAGTCCGGTGGTCCTGGTGGGCAGGTGGCCATGCAGGTCTCTGGTGGGCCATGGTGGTCTCTGGTGGTCCCTGGTGTTCTCTGGTGTTCTCTGGTGGTCCTGGTGGGCCATGGTGGTTTATGGTGGCCCTTGGTGGGCTATGGTGGTCTCCCAGGTCCCTGGTGGTTCATGGTGTCCCTGCAGAGTCTGGTGTCCCTGGTGTCTCTGGTGGTCTCTGGTGTTCTATGGTGGTCCAGGTCTCTGTGGTCCCTGGTAGAGTCTGGTGGTCCTTGGTGGTCTATGGTGGTTCATGCAGGCCCTTGGTGGCTATGGTGGTCTATGGTGGTCTCTGGTGGTCCCTGGTTCTATGGTGGTCCTGTATCTGGTGGTCTATGGTGGTCTCTGGTGGTCCCCGGTTCTGGTGGTCCTGGTAGAGTCTGGTGGTCCCTGGTAGAGTCTGGTGGTCTCCTTGGTGTCTCTGGTGGTCTATGGTGGTCTCTATGGTCCCTGGTAGAGTCTGGTGGTCCTGGTGTTCTATGGTGGTCTCTGGTGGTCCCTGTAGGTCTGGTTGGTCCCTGGTGTTCTTTGGTGGTCTATGGTGGTCTATGGTGGTCCCTGGTAGAGTCTGGTGGTCCTTGGTGTTCTATGGTGGTCTATGGTGTCTCTGGTGGTCTCTTGGTGTCTATGGTGTTCTGGTGGTCTCTGGTGGTCTCTCTGGTGGTCCCTGGTGGTCTCTGGTGGTCCCTGGTAGAGTCTGGTGGTCTGGTGTTCTATGGTGGTCCCTGGTGGTCTGGTAGGTCTGGTGGTCCCTGGTGTTCTCTGGTGGTCTCTGGTGTTCTATGGTGGTCTATGGTGGTCTATGGTGGTCCCTGGTAGAGTCTGGGGTGGTCCTGGTGGTCTATGGTTCCTGTTGGTCTCTGGTACCTGGTGTTCCCATGGTGGTCTACAGGTCTTGGTGGTCTCTGGTGGTCCCTGGTGGTCTCTGGTGGTCCCTGGTAGAGTCTGGTGGTCCCTGGTGTTCTCTGGTGGTCTCTGGTGTTCTATGGTGGTCTATGGTGGTCTCTGTGGTCCCCAGAGTCTGGTGGTCCCAGGTCTATGGTGGTCTATGGTGCCTTGGTGGCCATGGTGGTCTCTGGTGGTCCCTGGTGGTCTATGGTGTCCCTGGTAGAGTCTGGTGGTCCCTGGTGTTCTCTGGGGTCTCTGGTGGTCTATGGTGGTCTATGGTGGTCTCTGGTGGTCCCTGGTAGAGTCTGGTGGTCCTTGGTGGTCTATGGTGGTTCATGGTGGCCCTTGTGGCTATGGTGGTCCCTGGTGGTCCGGTTGTGCCTGGTAGTCTGTGGTCCCTGGTGTTCTCTGGTGGTCTATGGTGGTCTTGTGGTCTCTGGTGGTCCTGGTGGTCTTGGTGGTCCTTGGTGGTCTATGGTGTTCCTGGTGGCCCTGGTGCTATGGTGGTCTGCATGGTCTCTGGTGGTCCCTTGGTGGTCTCATGGTGGTCTCTGGTGGTCCCTGGTGGTCTATGGTGGTCTCCTGGTGGTCTCTGGTGGTCTGAGGTCTCTGCTGGTCCCTGGTGGTCTATGTGTCCCCAGAGTCTGGTGGTCCCTGGTAGAGTCTGGTGGTCTCTGGTGTTCTCTGGTGGTCTATGGTGGTCTCTGTGGTCCCTGGTAGAGCCCTGGTGGCCTTGGTGTTCTATGGTGGTCTCTGGTGGTCCCTGGTAGAGTCTGGTGGTCCTGTGGGCTATGGTGTTCATGCAGGCCCTTGGTGGTCTATGGTCCCTGGTGGTCTATGGTGACCCTTGGTGGTATATGGTGGTCCTTGTGTTCATGGTGGTCCCTGTGGTCCTTGGGTGTCTCTTGGTGGTCCTGGTGGTCTATGGTGGTTCCTGTGTCCTTGGTGGTCCCTGTGGTCCTGGTGGTCCCTGTTGGTCTCTTGGTGGTCCCTGGGTCTATGGTGTCCTTGGAGTCTGGTGGTCCTTGGTGGTCCTTGGGGTCTATGGTGGTCCTGGTGGTCCTTGGTCCCTTGGTGGTCTATGGTGGTCCTTGGTGGTCTGTGGTGGTCCTTGGTGATCTGTGGTGGTCCCTCAGGTCTGTGGTGACCCCTGGGGGCATGGTGGTCCTGGTGGTCTGTGGTGGTCCCTGGTGGTCTATGGTGGTCTCTGGTGGGGTATGGTGGTCCTTGGTGATCTGTGGTGGTCCCTTGTGGTCTATGGTGATCTCTGGTGGTCTATGGTGGTCCTGGTGGTCTGTGGTGGTCTCTTGGTGGTCTATGGTGGTCTCTGTGGTCTATGGTGGTCCTTGGTGGTCTGTGGGTTCCTTGTGGTCTGTGGTGATCTCTGTGGGTATGGTGGTCCTGGTGATCTGTGGTGGTCCCTTGTGGTCTATGGTGACTCTGGTGGGTATGGTGGTCCTTGGTGACCGGTGGTGGTCCCTGGTGATCTGTGGTGATCTCTGGTGGTCTATGGTGGTCCTTGGTGATCTGTGGTGGTCCCTGTGGTCTGTGGTCCCTGGTGGTCTGTGGTGGTCCCTGGGTCTGTGGTGGTCCTTTGTGATCTGTGGTGGTTCCCCTGGTGGTCTATGGTGGTCCCTAGGTCTATGGTGATCTCTGGTGGTCTGCAGATCTCTGGTGGGGTATGGTGGTCCTTGGTGATCTGTGTGGTCTATGGTGGTCTCTGGTATGGTGGTCCTTGATCTGTGGTGGTCCCTTGTGGTCTGTGGTGACCCCTGGTCTATGGTGGTCCTTGGTGGTCTATGGTGGTCCCTGGTGTCTATGGTGGTCCCTGGTGGTCTATGGTGGTCTGTGGTGGTCCCTGGGTGGTCCATGGTGGTCCTGGTAATCTGTGGTGGTCCTTGTGGTCTGCAGGTCCTTGATCAATGGTTGTCCCTGATGGTCCCTAATAGTCCCTGGTAGTCCCTAGTGGTCCCTTAATCACCTAACGCTAATCCTCGTCTCATCAAGGTTAATCTGTTCCCTCTACAGCCTAAACTCCTTGTCATCTGTATGCTAATGGGGCAGGAGGAGGGAGGAGGAGGAGGAGGAGGAGGAGGGGGAGAGGAGGAGGAGGAGGGAGGAGGAGGAGGGGAGGGAGGAGGAGGAGGAGGGAGGAGGAGGAGGGAGGAGGAGGGAGGAGGGGAGGAGGAGGAGGAGGGAGGAGGGGAGGAGGAGGAGGAGGAGGAGGGAGGAGGAGGAGGAGGAGGGAGAGGAGAGGGAGGAGGAGGAGGGGGAAGAGGAAGCTAGGTGTGGAGGAGGAGGGAAGGAAAGGTTATAGGCTTGGAGGAGGAAGAGGAAAAATTGGGTAGGAGGAGGAGAAGACAGAGAAGAGGTGAGAGGCTGGGAGTAGAGAGAGGGAGAGAGACAAGAGGGGGAGGAGCTGAGGGAGGGAGGGAGGGAGGAGGGAGTAGGGTGGGAGGCTAGGAATGAGAGGAGGAAGAGGAAGAGGAAGAGAGACAAGAGAGGAGGAAAGGTGGAAGGCTGTGGTCATTTTGGTCTTCCTCCTCATCCAATCTTTTAGCTATTTATTCCACCTCTCTCCACAGACACCGGCCCCTGTGTGTTTGTCTATGTGGATTAGTCAGTGCCTGTCTATCTATCCTGTCTGTCTGTGTGTGTCCGTCTGTCTGTCTGTGTGTCCGTCTGTCTGTCTATGTGTCCGTGTCTGTTCGTTGTGTCCGTCTGTCTATCCTGTCTGTGTGTCCGTCTGTCTATTGTCTGTGTGTGTCCGTCTGTCATCCTGTCTGTGTGTCCGTCTGTCTGTGTGTCCGTCTGTCTTCCTGTCTGTGTGTCCGTCTGTCTGTCTGTGTCCGTCTGTCTGTGTGTCCGTCTGTCTGTGTGTCCGTCTGTCTATCCTGTCTGTGTGTCCGTCTGTCTGTCTGTGTGTCCGTCTGTCTGTGTGTCCGGTTCGTTCGTGTCTCGTCTGTCTTCTGTCTGTGTGTCCGTCTGTCTGTCTGTGTGTCCGTCTTCGTCTGTGTGTCCGTCTGTCTGTGTGTCCGTCTGTCTATCCTGTCTGTGTGTGTCCTGTCTGTCTGTGTGTCCGTCTGTCTGTCTTATTTCGCCATTACTCTATCATAAACAAGAAGGATTATTTTTTGTTTAATTTGACAAAGTGAATTAACTCGTGACTTTACCTTCCTGTGTTGCGTTATACAGGGGTCAAAGGTCAAGGTCACCTGGTCAATCCCCGGTTAATTAGGACAGCACAGGTAGAATATTACGATGTGTGTTAACTGGGTCACGTGAATATTTGCTAGTGTACATGATGATCTATTGAGGGGAGTATGTACACATGTTTTTACGTACATGGATAATTATACACACACACACACACACACACACACACACACACACACACACACACACACACCAAAGAACAACTCGTAAGCTGCGTTAGGGGGGAAAGCGGCGTATCTTGGGTGGTCCAGGGGTGCAGCGATAGGGCCAGAAGCGTCGCCGGGTTAAAGTTCTTCAGTCAGTCAGTCAGTCAGTCATCAGCTGTCAGTCTCAGTCAGACAGTCAGTCAGTCAGTCAGTCAGTCAGTCAGTCAGACAGTTATCATCACCATCATCACATCATCATTATCATTTATTATCATCTTCATCATAATCACCAATATAATCCGACCTTCTCCTCTTCCTCCTCCTCCAGTTCCTCTTCCTCCAGTTCCTCCTCCTCCAGTTCCTCCTCCAGTTCATCACCACCCTCCTCACCATCGCCTCATTACCCGCAAGTGTTGGCCCAGGGTTCTCCAGGGAGGGACCGTAGTAGATAGTTTTCACCAAATATGATGCAAATCGCTGCTGAAATTGGGCTGGTCGGGCAAGTGATGGGGCGAGTGAAGAAAAATCAACACCTCGGGCCAGACTGGGAGCCAATTTGATGAGGTTTTATGAGACGGCGGGTTCATGTTTAATGGTCTGGCTTATACCTACCTTACCTGCCTACCCTAACTACCTACCCCACCTCTCTCTGTATATTTCTATCTCGCTGTTCGTCTCATTCTCTACTCTTTCTTTCTCTCTCTATTTCTCTGTATCTCTCTCTTCCTTCCTCTCCACTTTTCTCTTGTCACCACTCACCTTTCCTACCTTCCTTCCTTCCTTCCTTCCTTCCTTCCTTCCTTCCTTCCTTCCTTCCTTCCTTCCTTCCTTCCACCTATGACACAACATAACATAAACTGACCGTGATTAACTTATCGTTTCGCTGTAAAATATCACCATGACAAATCACCCTTACCCATTGAACAAGCTTACTACCACACGCACCATTAACTCTCTCTATTAACACATTAACTCTCTCTATTAACACCATTAACTCTCTATTAGCACCATTAACTCTCCTTAACACCATTAACTCTCTTTATTAACACCATTAACTCTCTATTAACACCATTAACCTCTATTAACACCATTAACTCTCTATTAACACCATTAACTCTATTAACATCATTAACTCTCTATTAACACCATTAACTCCTCTCTATTAACACCATTAACTCTCCTATTAACACCATTAACCCTCTCTATTAACACCATTAACTCTCTATTAACACCATTAACTCTCCATATTAACACCATTAACTCTCTCTTAACACCATTAACTCTCTCTATTAACACCATTTACGCTCTATTAGCACCATTAACTCTCTCTATTAACACCATTAACTCTCTCTATTAACACCATTAACTCTCTATTAACACCATTAACTCTTTCTATTAACACCATTAACTCTCTCTATTAACACCATTAACTCTCTATTAACACCATTAACTCTGTCTATTAACACCATTAACTCTCTTTAAACCATTAACTCTCTTAACACCATTAACTCTCTATTAACACCATTAACTCTTTCTATTAACACCATTAACTCTCTTATTAACTCTACCATTAACTCTCTATTAACACCATTAACTTCTATTAACACCATTAACTCTCTCTATTAACACCATTAACTCTCTCTATTAACAACATTAACTCTCCCTATTAACATCATTAACTCTCTTTAACACCATTAACTCTCTCTATTAACACCTATAAGATGATGTTAACCAGATTATACTTATTGTTTCACTAATTGCTGGAGGTAAATGTACATATCAGGTGACACTAAGAGAGTTCAGTGACTTACATGGTGGGTCGTCTTGGCATTGTTACATGGGTGGGTCAGTCTTGGCATTGTTACATGGGTGGGTCGTCTTGGCATTGTTACATGGGTGGGTCAGTCTTGGCATTGTTACATGGGTGGGTCAGTCTTGGCATTGTTACTACGGTGGGTCAGTCTTGGCATTGTTACATGGGTGGGCAGTCTTGGCATTGTTATTGGGGGTCAGTTTGGCATTGTTACATGGGTGGGTCGTCTTGTATTGTTACATGGGTGGGTCAGTCTTGGCACTGTTACATGGGTGGGGTCAGTCTTGGCATTGTTACATGGGTGGGTCAGTCTTGGCATTGTTACATGGGTGGGTCAGTCTTGGCATTGTTACATGGGTGGGTCAGTCTTAGGCATTGTTACATGGGTGTGTCGTCTTGGCACTGTTACATGGGTGGGTCAGTCTTGGCATTGTTACATGGTGGATCAGTCTTGGCAGTGTTACATGGGTGGGCTGCCTGGCATTGTTACATGGGTGGGTCAGTCTTGGCATTGTTACATGGCTGGGTGAGTCTTGGCATTGTTACATGGTGGGTGTCTTGGCAGTGTTACATGGTGGGTCAGTCTTGGCAGTGTTACATGGTGGGTCAGTCTTTACAGTGTTACATGGTGGGTCAGTCTTGGCAGTGTTACATGGGTGGGTCAGTCTTGGCACTGTTACATGGGTGGGTCAGTCTTGCACTGTTACATGGGTGGGTCAGTCTTGGCATTGTTACATGGTGGGTCAGTCTTGGCATTGTTTCATGGGTGGGTCAGTCTTGGCACTGTTACATGGGTGGGTCAGTCTTGGCACTGTTACATGGGTGGGTCACTCTGGCAGTGTTATATGGGGGTCACTCTTGGCAGTGTTACATGGGTGGGTCAGTCTGGCACTGTTACATGGGTGGGCAGTCTTGGCATTGTTACATGGGTGGGTCAGTCTTGGCACTGTCAGGTGGGTCACTCTTGGCAGTGTTACATGGGTGGGTCAGTCTTGGCATTGTTACATGGGTGGCAGTCTTGGCACTGTTACATGGGTGGGTCACTCTTGGCAGTGTTACATGGGTGGGTCAGTCTTGGCATTGTTACATGGGTGGGTCACTCTTGGCATTGTTACATGGGTGGGTCAGTCTTGGCATTACAAAACAAAACGAACTTCACACACGAATGAAAGAAGAAAGAAATAAAGAAAGAAGAAAAATAAGAAAGGTTCCCACAACTAATGTAATAAGTGATGAAAATAAGTGATGAAAATGGGTGATGAAAATGGGGAGGGCGGTGTTCATTAGTGGTCCCATTAACCTACCTCTCACAATTTTTTACCGTAATGGGGACGGGAGACACTCTATCTCTTCCTATCTCTTACCCGGGGCTTCATCTCTCCTCCGTCTCTATCCTTGACTCTGCCAAATGGTGAGAGATGTTCGGTTAGTCTCTCTGTCTCTTTCGCCTGTTTGTCTCTGTCTATGTCTGTCTCTTTTGTCTGTTTGCCTGTCTCTTTTACTCTCGTCTGTCTGTGTGTCTCCAGTCTGTCTCTTTATCTCTTAGTCTCTCTGTCACAACACACACACACACACACACACACACACACACACACACACACACTATTAAATTACTATCAATAAACCGAATACACTACTAATTACTATTATTTTACTATCGAAGGATCTACTACTACTACTACTACTACTACTACTA